TCAACACTTTAAACTTCTTTCATGTCCATCTTATCAAAGCTTTTCACAGACTTTGTAATTTACTCAACACATGTCATTTTATCACTCAATTCGCTAATTGTTGTCAAAGAACTCTGTTATATACCAGTATATAAATTGTATGGGTACGGAGGTCCGATGAAATACTGGCCACTTCCGTCTGTGTCCCCGCATGAAAGTTAAAATTGTTGTCCATCGTTAAAAGCTTTAATAAACTCGGAAACTGATTTTCTCATTACTTTGGATTTATAATATGTGATTTCGGGAAGAGTCCTAGGAATACGGCACTACTTCTTCCGGTCCGCAGCGCCACTCATTTCACTGTCAACATTCCCTCTTTCCATATCAACGACATATCTTTTTAGACCCAAACTAAGCGGTCATACTTCCACAAAATTTGAGAACGACAAAATGAATGGAAGAATATGTAGATAGATGCTTTGTCGAATGCATCATTTATGAGCTGCTTTAAATTTGAACTGTACCTTTAATAGTTCAAGACCCTAACAGCGGCTAAAAAAGATTTGCTTTCCAGTTCAGGTGGCACATGAACTACATTTCATACTTTGATGACTCTAGTGCCACTATGTGTTGAATCATGATGTTAGTGAAATTGATGAAAGGAAAAAAAACCAATGTGGACTATCTATGTGATTACGTTCTAGTAAATACAATATTTTTAAAAACGTTGACCTGCGCGCGCACCACAAAATACATGTCTTACGCGGCAACGCAAAAATCAAATGATCCTCCTTCCTGTTCTTCATGTGGAAGTAATTGAATTAGAGTTAATTTCCGGAAAATTCAAATAAAAAATAAACATGCAATGCCAGTGTTGGTCAAGTGATCTAGTTAAAAATGTATAAAGAGAGACCAATAGTAATGACTAGAAAGAATCGGTATGAGATTATTGGACGTAAATATATCACGTCAGTTTTATTGTTTTTGTTATGATGATATATGGACCTAAATGGATCTATATATAAATACTTAATATGTCAATAAAATAATTCCCTGTAATATATACTTCAGTTACAAAATCATATTTTCCTTTGTTTGACATTGATGTTAAATTTACATCCGTCCTGGTTTTAAAGGATTTTAATAACAATGGAAATTCATGTATTACATTGATTTATTTAAAATGAAATTAAAGTTCGAAAAACAAATGCTCTTCTGGGCATTGAAATGACTTTTTAAAATCAAAATACTACACAGCATTATTAGATTAAGTAAAATTAAACACTTCAACCGTAAAATAAACATTTTTTTTTTAAAATCTACGTTGTGTGTTTTGTATATGAATACTGGAGTATCAAAATACTTTCAAATGTACTTTTTTAAATGACAGTAACATGTTGCAAGTGTGAAAAAAATCTTACAGATTAATTTCTTAATAAATTAGTAGCATACAAGTATCCCTACACAATCTTGAGCACGACAGAAACTAAATGCAGTTGAACTTCGGTATTTCGAACACTGATATTTCGAATACCATAGATATGTCGAAGTGATTTGGAAGTCCTAACCCCTTATTCTTCAAGTATTTTACCTTGGATATCTCGAACCCTCAGATATCACGAAGTGTTTTTTTTTCGGTCCCTTTGAGTTCGACATAACGAGATTTGACTGTATAATTGGACTATTTTCTTAATACACACTTACATTTTCTTAGAATATTTTATTTACTATCAAATTATGCATGATAATTATTTCACTTAATATAATCGCTTTTCTAGTCATAAGATAAGCTTTTATAACGTAACTTCAAATGAACGTTACAAAGATATGTATTTCAATTACAGTAAAACTGCGCATTACCTTGATACCAAAAGTATAAGCTTAGGACTGTTTTTTTCTGATCTGTGGTGTCAAAAACCAAACTGCCTGGAAATAACTTGGAATGGCTTTATTTTAAAACTTTTCCATCATTTGCCTTTCACATATACGTGGCATTACTGGACAACTTAATAGCCCTTATGTTCAGCATGCACCAACCTTATCATTGAAATTCATGACACTCAGGAATAGAAAATAATTATTCAAAAATCAATAAATCAATCAATATTGAAATCAATCAAACCAATAATAGATTAATAAATGTGAAATTCAGTCAATATCTCAACCAAAGGCTTTGAATTAATAAGATTTAGCAATGATTCGATGCATATCATATGTCATTGTGGAAGCTGTAGTTTTTGGGACGGGCTCCAAAACAATCAAATTTCTTTAAATAAGTCTGTTTTCCTACATGTTAATTAAGGATTAATGCTAAATGATTAAAGCTGTACGCATATCAAGTTTCAGTATTCTCCTAGAATGAGATTCTTACCCATTTTGCAAAGAGCAGTGGAAAATCAATCAATATATAAAAAAATCATTCTATATGTGCAGGCTTTGTATCAATAAGATTTAGCAATGATTCGATTCATATAATATTTCATTGCTAAAGCTATTGTTTTGGATTGGGCTCTGAAACAATCACAGTTCTATAAATAATTTTGTTTTCCTACATGTTAATTAAGGACTAATGCTAAATTAAGGTGTACCCAAATCAATTTTCAATATTTCCTTGATATTCTTTCCCTTTGTAAACAGCTGTGCCATATCGCTTTCAGCCAATTTATATAACTCTAAAAGCAGATGAAACTAAAATGATTCAAGAAATTAAGCCTCAGCAATAAATCAACTTTTCTTTCTTGTGATACAGAAAAGATGGTGCTGTCTTTTCACCCCAAGTCGTTTAGACACCCATTACAAGTGCGAGGAGGTCGAACTGCTTTGATGCAAACTTTAGCAAGTCCTAAGAAATTGCGAAGTAGCGTTAGATTTATTGGCAATTTTTGTCAGCTCAACCTTTTGACATTTTCTCATCATTGTAAGTATTAATGTAATTTTCTTTCCCAGTCTGGGATGGCTTTTAGCTATAGAGTGAATGGGAGTTCCATTGGAATGTTTAATATGAAATATACTGCAACACAACACAACAATAATCTACGCAACACAATCTTTTTAGACATCAACTATTTATCATTGTATTTAGCCATTTTTTTACGCTCTAAACATGTAGATTTACATTCGGTAAGTAAGCAAGCAAAGAACGATCTGAGGAATAAATCGACCGATGGTTCACGTAAACAATGCGCGAATCATCTTTCATGGTGCATTATAGTAAATTGATTTAAAACGTATAGGGCATTACTCCTCTTGTATGTGTGTACAAATGGCATTTCATATTGTGTTTGGAGTTGTCAATTGTAAGAAATTATTTATCTCCTAACCAAAGATAATTAAACTGATCGTCTCGAGCTTTCAATGTTCAATGCTCTTTGACAAAATATTATATTTTATATACATGTAATTACTCTGTATCTTAAATTTTCTAAAAGTAATAAAGAAAATCACTTTCATCAATAGAATTAAATTTATTTTCAATCCACGTACTATCAAATAAAAAGTTGTCATTTTAATTAAGAATATCTCTGTAGATGATATATATAACTGTAAACCAACTTTTATTCGCGACATCTTTTTTTCGCGATTCTTCAGTTTAGAATCTATCCTTGACTACTAAGTTTCGCAACCAAGGCAATTTATGTAGAATACATAAATACATAGGTGAATAATTGATTCGCAACGAGAAATATTCGCGAGTAAAAGAAGGTTGCAAAACTTGCGGATATTTCTCGCTCGCGAATAAAAGTTTACAGTATGATGTCAAAATAAAAATCTACATGTTGAATACGGATATTGTATATACATGTACAGTATACATTTAAAAATCTAAACACATTGAGAAATAAGTAGATCTTTGCTTCTGTATAACTACATTATATTTGAAGATCGAATTGGACTGTTTTCAAAACGTCTCACGTCAAATGTTTCTCTCGATGATATGTTTATCAACTTCATCTTCGATAAAACCAGCCTATACCTGTGAAAATTTGTCAAATGAAAAGCAAACACACATAGGAACAATTTATGACAGATGGTTTGCTTCACTCGAGGAATTCATAAATACTTACATATGCCCACCAATTGCCAAGAGTATGGTTGATTTCGAATTCTTAGCGAATGACTTATCAATTTTCTGATTTTCTGTCTTTGGAAAGTTCTTCCATCTGCCTAGCTCGTTCTTCCATTGCCACAAAATTGTCCCTTCTTGTTCTTCGTCACTTTCTAGGTTTGGTTCACTCTGTAGAGCCTTTTCAATATTTCTTAACTCCCCAGTGTCATATTTACTGAACTTTTCTGACTCTAACAATGCTTTACCTGCGAAATAGGCATAGATGAAAACATGGGAAAGTATTTTGAGTCTGCTTAAAATCATAATCTAAATTTCATACACTGATACTCAATACTTTTCTTTATATTTCAAAGTCTATATATATTCGAAAGAATTACTTTCTATATAACTGTTTATCCATAAGTTCTGTTAAAATTACCTGTAGTGTTCCCACCAGAGCATGTTGACATTATATTGCATTTTTGTGAGACTACTATGTATTCTTCAAAAGGATCGCTAAATCAATGAAAAAATATTGGATTTATTGCCAATATTTGCTTTGCTTCAAAACATGATGACTCTCTGATAGAAAATCATCAATTTGTAACAAAGTTTTCAAAGTAAGAAATTTATGTATGTGTGATATATATTTTGCACATTTTCAAGGATATCAAATTCGCTGAGATCTAAATTCCCAAAACATTTAATCACATAACATTTTTTTTGTTTTTTTAATTAACTTGAGCTGATACTTAAACCTCAATATTATATTTTTGCCTGTATCTAATTTATATTTTATTTGTTTATTCATTTATTTATTGCAGGATTAGGAGATTTAAAACTATAAAGAGTAAGGCTTTTGCGTGGAAATGCTAATCTTACAGGACAGACAGATAGAAAAAACATACAGATGGATTGACAGACACTGACGAAAATGAGCTCTATTTCACTGTCAGGCTATGGACACGAAAATGCAATGAAATTTCTTGAATTCAGCTTACCAGACAGCAAGGTCATATTTTCCACCATAACCGAATCTGTAATTACTTTTGATTCCATTTGACCAGCGTACCTGGAATAAATACAGTAAAAAAAGTAATAAATCTTATATATCTGTAAAAACCACTAAAACATGTACAGTGTATTTTCTAAAACTCCTCTCAGAATTTTTTCCATACACTAGTCTAATTGATGGGATTATTTTCACATTACATAAACTGCGTCCTCTTTTACTCTATAAACAGCACCAATATTGCCTTCACCGCCATCCTGATCTCCCCACTTCCAATCTGGTCCTATAGATATTTGCGATAAATAGAACCAGCAATGGCTATAATATAAACTTAAGTAATATATAGTAATTATCAATTTTCTTAAAATATGTTCTCATTTCTTAATGAAAAATATGCACTCATTCCAGATAAAGCAATTTTAACAGATTTTTCAGATTTATTTGAAGAAATTGTTGCTCAGAACAAATATCTTAATCATAAAGAATTTTTTTTTAGCATTCCGTCATTGAAAAGTACATTGAATAAGTCATTTAACAAAAATAACCTCTTTTAACTAGACATCCTACAGCAATGTTTTCTCTTCGGAGTATTCGAGGCTCATCGCAAGGAATAATTACATTTTCCTGATGGCTATCGTTCACATATTCATACGGAAACCTCATTCCTGTGTCCCATTCCACGTATATCCATCCTTCTTAAAAAAGACAATCTCAAAAAGTAAAATAAACATTCAAGTAGATCGACGTTTCATTTCCCTTTTCTTACCTCTATGCCAGTGTCCTGTAACTGTGCCAGGTCCATTAGAGTCCTGATTTCTATAATGCCAATTTGGACCTCTGCGTACTCTTGTCCCAGGTGCTAATAGACTTTCATTACGCTCACTATAAACTTCATGTTCTAAATGGTCGTCATTTCGGTACACAAACATTTCATATGCTCGTCTATTGTTTAAAATCTCCACAACATTTTCCTAATTTTTAGAAAAAAAAATGATTTTACCATTACGTAACTTGCATACGACATATTGAAAAAACCCTTTAATATTGTAAATGTTAAAATAGGAAGTAATTAAACAAAATTGAACATTACATATATTTGTAACCATTAAATGCATATTCTAAAAATGTCTATAACTTCATATGTAGAGAATGTGTGCAGTTAAAAAAACTTTTTACCTGAACATATTAAATTTAATGCTTTATTGAAATGTGGTAAAGCAAAATGTATACTAGGAATGAATATGATAAGGTGAAGTTCGATTATGTTGATAACACAAAACACCTGAAAAATGTTTTACCACATCATGTTCCGTTATATCACACTGAGGTCCTGAAGATAATAATATGTTTTTCACGTCATCAATAGAACAAGAAGTGGATGGCACTTCGCCAATAATCTCTGCCGCAATCATCTATGTATAAAATTTAATACATTTTCATGTATTATTTTACTACAATGTTACATATTCTTTTTGAACATTTATCTTTTCAAAAAGCATTCTTTAATATTAAAAAAAAATATTATTAATAATTATTGACAATACCATACACAATGAGTATTTGGCAAATGCTCTTGCTTCTGGAGGATTTAGGAGTTTTCCTCCGCGAGACTCATAAGCAATAGACCCAAGTAAGCTCTGTAAATGATATAATGATACTGTATTATCACTGGCTTTTCTTGCAATTATCTAGTTTTTGCCATTTTTGCGATCATCTGTAAAGTCAATAAACATAAGTTAGATATAATCCTCACTTCAAGGTTTGACACTGCAAATTTTGTATTTCAAAAGCTGAATAAGTCGTATAAAGCTTACATTTTACAAAATCACTTGGCAAATATCGGATAATTTGCCCATTAACATATATCTCAAAATATTACATAACTACCTTGCAATTACTGATTCATACTTTTGTTGTATGATTGACTGACTGACTAATTGATTGATTGATTGATTGTATGAGTTATATCCCATTCAAGAATTTTCCTTCATATAGAGACGTCACCTTTACCAGTTAAGGGCTTTAAATTTATACACATATACTTGGCACTCGTGGCCATTGAGCAGTTGGGTTGTTTATCATGCCACGCCTACCGTGAAACGGGACCTCAGTTTTTAAGGTAACATTCGAAAGATCCATGACTTAACTTCTAATGCCAGATGATTGGCGAAGGAAAAGTCACAATTTATGGTAGATTTCGGTTTGACACAACCCGGGCTTCCTGACCCCAAATTTCTTTTTATGACGAAACGCGTGAATTAATGTTCTCCGCGAAATGATAAATTTTGAATAGCGTATCATTTTCATATTTGCAATCTTAAAATGAAATTCTCTCGAACCATTTTTCTAATGTCTGTATGCTTACAACATTTGGATCCTTTCCAACTGGAACACAGAAAATTGGAAATTTATTCCCTGTTTGTCTCACCAGTTGGAAAAAGCTGGATTTCCTACAATAATGAATTATAATGTCGATAAAAATTCAATGTAAATAAAATTTAAAAAAATTAAAATTGATATATTTGTATGACCATAATTTTATACTAAAATATGTTCTGTAGAATTAGAAATATTTCCTATTACATGGTCTCCCTCAGTATGTTGATCACATTTTGAATCTGAATCGTCTAATGTTGTTGGTCTTCCATCGGAAATAAGAATAACCCTAGCTCGGATAGTAAATAAGCCAATGTAGGTCATTCGTTCTGTACAAAATATACATTGTGCTGAATATCTATATGAGATTTAAATAATATCATAAAAACAGTGGATTACCTGAGACCAAATTAAAGTTTATTTACACATAAATAATGCTATATTAATTTATTTGTATCAAATTGTTTTAGCGTCTTATCTCAACAACAGAAATACTCACGTATTTCTTCCAAACCAGGAATTGCTAAAAGAAAACCTTCAATTATTGGAGATGGACCCGAACAAGAGACATCATCTAAAACGTTAAGCTAGCAAACTGAATTAATATTGTAATAAAACACTTAAAATGAGTGCATTTATCTGTAGGACTGTCTCTTCCTACTGATAAAGCCATATGTAAACTTCATCCATTGAAGATGCTCATAAAATACATTTACAGTTTGATATGCTCCTCTACCTTTCCAAAAGTTTGAAATTGAATAAATTGGAATTAGTGTGAAATTTTGGAGACTTGTTGAAGACTTTTTAAAGCCAAATTATAGTGGAAATGTGCAAAATGGTTTATAGAGTAAGTTAAAATCAACTGCATCTGCAAACATACTCTACATATGCATAAAATCACAAAGTAACAGGAAATTTGTAGAATAAAGATTTTAAGGTAATGTGAAAAATAAAACTACAGCAAGTTGTCAAAAGACGGGCTTTTGCTGATATTAAAAACTAAATAGGTGATGGAACGTATAGGGGAAAATATGTGGTCAAAGATGACAGGAATTCGAGTAATATAATAGTAGGTATAGTTAAGATAGGTAGTTTCTATTAATTTGCAAGAATTAGATGAGGTATAGGTATTATTGACCTAATACTCGCTTCAAAGAATGATAGTTGTTCGAGAAATGGTGCAGGTATTTATTATCTTTTCCAAACTGAATCACTGCAACGTGTTCATACATATTTGGGTGCATAGCGTAACCTATATGAATTGAGAGAAATGCATAATTATTAAATCAGTACATATATATATATATATATATATATATATATATATATATATATATATATATATATATATATATATATATATATATATATATATATATATATATATATATATATATTAAAGTAAGTTAGAATCATTAAAATTGTGAATTACTCAAAAAGTCGTAAATTTACATATTTTGAGATAGCTGTGATGTAAATTGCACCTTCGATCATTGATAAATATGCCTCCTTCATCTGAATAAAACCTTCTCCATCCATGCTCTCTGATGTATCCAAAATGAAAAGATTGCTCACACCATGTAGTAGACTATATTTTCTTCTCTGAACTGCAAAGTATACAATGATTATTTATACATACAAGTTGAAGCTTCTATGTTATACGTGTGTAACAAAGCTAAGTAGCATGGAAAATATTTGGTTATTTTTGTATTTAGTTGTTATTTTAAAGTTGAAAAAAATATTATTGAAACTACAGTGTAATCCTGGAAGAAACTTTGAATTCTGCGAAGTAATATCTGTAAATCTGGTTTGAAAAAAAAATATGCTTTGGGCAGTAAGAAGTAGAGTGTTTGAAGACATGTGATCATTTTTCGGACACTGTTTTGTTTGTAATTAGGGACTGTAAGGGGCATTCGTAAACCTTTACAGAACGATGAAAAGGTAAGGAGCTTTATTATAAAATTAAAACAACAGAGTAACTCACCTTCTTTGACTTCTCCTCTAAATCTTTCTCTTAAGCGAAAATCATCTAGAAAAACAGCCATTATGAAACTTTTTTTCAATTTCAGGAACCTTTGCAGGATACTTTTTTGTCGTATTGTTTTACCTCTTTCAAATTTGTCCCGTCGAATTTATTTCCTCGTGTATTCTTTCTGGCAGGAAGTTTCAAACAGAACAACCTTCCTCATGGTCTACAGGAAAATACAAAATAAAGCATTCACCGAAATAAAAAATAGGAAAAAAAAATACAAAACAAATATATTTGGGAACTGTTATATTAAGCACGTACGCTTTTATAAAAAAAATCTCTTTTTCATTAGTAGACTGAAAAGACTGACTAATGTCATTCACTCGTTTCCTAGATAGTTATTACAAGTTTTATTGTTCCTATTATATAAAGATATGAAGACAATTATATTAAAGGTATCAAATTCTTAAAAATCATTGAATGCTAATTGTAAAAGAAACATTGCTCCCCCCTGCAGTGACCTGGGACAGTTCCATAATTTGTTTACTTATACATCCTTGTGACTTGATTGAAAAGTTAGCTGTTGATACAACTAATATAAGAACGAATGCTAGATTTAGGAGAGGATTAAAAATATGACGTATGACATACCCCCAGTTTTAGTATATCATTATTTGCACTATATTTAAATCTACTTTTAAGTAACAAAACATACTTGGCAAATAGAGTGCTTAAAGTACTGCATATAAACTTGTAGAAAAGGGTCATCTGCCGAAAATTATCCATTAAAACATCTGAAAAGTTTTTTTGACAAATGGATCTGAAATAAGACCATTTTTAGGTCTTTATTGGAAAAGGACCTTTAATCTCTTACCAAAAGTTCTCAGAAGTAAAATTATCACAGAAACAACAGCGTTTTTCTTTCTTTCCTGATCGACTGTATAGAATAGACAAGGATTTATCAGATTTAATCGTTTAACATTGATACTTTTTGCTTGATTTGCAAATTATGTTTAATAAATAAACGCATTTTGTTGAATTGACTCGCTCTTTTAACCAGATCACCACAGTTAAACGGGTCTATCAATCTTATAAAAAATTTATGATTTTATCATTTATCTTCTTCAGGTGTTAATTCCAGACATCATCTTGATCTTTCCATAAACAGTGATCACTAATTTGACGGTGGTGAATGAAATACCTAATTGTTCTTAATTATACGAAGAAGTTATTTTCCCGAACAAATGTCTAATTCTTTCCGAACGAAAAAAAAATTATTTAATTCTAAAACAATAATCTAATTTGTTGAAGGAAAAACTAAATAAATTCATTCCAAACAAACTTTAAAAAAATAAATAAAATAAACTCAAAGTTTGCAAATTCATGAATTAGTCGTGGCACTTTTTAACAAAATGATACAAAAAGGTAAACCGGTTCTGCAAATGACAATATCTACTAACATTTGAGTAAAAAAAGTCCTCATATATGTAACTCCGACAAGCAAGGAGTTATTTTACATGTAAGTTCCTTAGTACGTATAACCTTGCCAAGAAGAGCTCGTACTTTACTCAAGGCAGACAAAACAGTGTAAAAGAATGAAATCATTTCTTCAATAAATAGCATATATATATATATATATATATATATATATATATATATATATATATATATATATATATATATATATATATATATATATATATATATATATATATATATATATATAAGAAACAAGATGCAAGATTTTATTTGTCCAATTTGGGCCCCCCGGAGGAGCAAAAACGATTTACAAACATGAAAGAAAAGAGGGACGAAGATCCAAATGATAGAATAAACCTGATCTTAAATAAAATGAGCAGTGCTTAATTGAATCATATATAAATGCATCTACAAGAGATATACTGAATATACGTATTGTATATGTTATAATAATATAGATGTATAGTCAAGTATTTTGAAAGGTACATATATGCATATCAAAGAACAGAAGAGATAATATATTGCCATACATGTACATGTATATACATCCCCAAATATATTTAAATTTTTTAGTTAAGGTAGATTATCAAGGAATCTAGCAAGTGATCTTGGGATCTCAGGGACTTCATTAGTCATAAGCCAGTGAAATTGATTATCATATGATAAAGACTGAAAATGTTTACATTTATTATTACAACTATTTATGAGTTAAAGTCTTTGTACACTAAAATGAGGACATAGAAGGAGAAAATGAATTTCATTCTGAATCTCCTTGTGATCACAAAGGGAGCAAATTCGTTCTTCTTTAGGTATCTTTTGATATCGTCCAATTTCAATTTTAAGCCTCTGAGCTGATATTCGTAACCTTGTTATGACTGATCTATGTTGATTGTTTGTTAAAATATCTAGATAGGAATCAAAACAAAATTTAGTCTTTAGGCAGATGAACGTAGACCCATCTTTAAGCAAATTTCCGTCTTTTTCCCATGTAATTTTATAGAAGTTAAGTAATATTCTTTCCAAGTTTATTTGAAACTGGGGGAGTGATATACCTAAAACATCACTAAGTTTAATATCAATATGGTTAAGTAAGAAGTTAATACAACAATACCATGAAGTATCTCCATTTTGGTGTAGTGTTTTGTAACATTTAAAAGCCTCACTAAGTAAGGGAAATTCACCATCTAGATTCTCTAATCTATGCCAATATAACAACACATTTTTAATGACAACAAAGTGTACATTCCATCGTCCAAGCTCAGATCCTACAGCAAAGTTGCTGCCTTTACCATGAACCATTTATGAATATTTGTAAAATTTAAGATGCAAACTTTCGCCTTCTAAACTTTGGTATATTTTATCTAATGTTATATTTGGATTTTTCTTAAATTTGGAAGTTGATGGGTAAAAAAAAACCCATAACTCTGAACCGTACAGGCTAATAGGTTTAATAGTGTGGTCGAATACATTTAAAGCAGTTTTAACTGATGGATTAAATGTGAGAAAGTCTTTTTGAAGTTTGAAATACATTTTTTTTTGGCTTTGTTACAACAATCATTTTTAGCCCTAGTCAGTGTTCCAGATGCATTAATTGTCAGACCCAAATACTTGTACTGTTTAACACATTCGATATTGTTGTTATTCAGATGGAAGGGGATTTTGATGTGCTTGCCAGATGAATTAAGACTATTATTTTGTTTTCTGTGTATTAACTTTGAGAGACAAGTCCTTTCAGTATGATTTTAGTATATTGAATTTTTCTTGTAGACCTTCAGCAGTGGGGAGAGAAGTACTATGTCATCAGCATACATGAGACAATGAATAGATGTAGATGAATCATTGTTTAATTTATTTTACGAAACTTTCAGAATTTGATAGATAATTTGGTAGATCATTAAGGTAAATCTTGAATAAGTTTGGACTCAAGTTATCTCCTTGTCTTACCTCATTGTATGTGTGAAAGTGATATATATATATATATATATATATATATATATATATATATATATATATATATATATATATATATATATATATATATATATATATATATATATATATATATATATATATATAAATGATAGGGGTGCAATTATCAATTATCACCCCCTATTATACCTATATGTACAATGGATTGATGGTTTGTTGTTTTACATCCCTTTCGAGGATTTTTCACATATATGCGATTTCAACAAATACTGTATCGGAAAAATGCTTCAAAGTTAGACTTTTAATCGGCACTCAGGTTTCTTTATGGTGCTAACGCCTACCGTGACGAGAAATCTTATTTGAAATACCCGTGACTTTCAATTCTAGTGCCAGACGCTTGGCGAAGGAACAGTCACTACCTACATTAACGTATTAGATTTGATGCAGCACAGGGAACGGGAATAGAATACGGTTCTTCCCGCTCATGAAGCGAGCGCCCTGCCTAGTTATGTTAACCCTAACGCGGCATAGGAACTCAATGAGTGGGATAAAAGAATAAACACGTGAAGGGTTTTATGAAAATATGCTTCTATTTTTGAATAACAATTCTTATAGAATAATAAAATCTGAAATAAATAAATCAATTAAAAAAATTCTTTTATTATTTTAAATGGTAGCTTATAATGAAAGTTGTTCCTTATTGATTAACTAATAAGAATGCAAGTTTGAGAAAACTATTTCTTTTTTAACAAGTACTTTGAAATTCATAATTTTGCATGAAACATTTTTTTTGACTTTCATTACTTCTCTGACAACTTGAGGTGATTTAACTATTGGATTCTTAATTATTTCGATTCATTTGAACTACGAGGGTCGTTCAATATATAATGCAATATGTCATCTAAAAGTAAGAAAAATGCGGAATACATATTCTAAACATTTTCATTCCCTCAAAGCATTCCTTGTTATCCTTTACACATTTCTCAAGTCTTTATACCTATGACCAGAAAACCTCAGCATACCCATCAATAGTGATGCCCCAAAGACATTGATGAATATCACTTTCCATTACATCAAATATTGAACAATCTTCCTTTGATTGTTTTCATGCAGTTTTAGAATGAAAAGATCCCAGAATGGCTGAGATCTAGCGAATATGGGGGATGGCAAAGCTCTGTAAACTTTCTTTTCTTCAGAATTTCATTTATTTCTCTATGCTTATTTGCAACAGCGTTGACAGGTGCATGTAAATTACCCTAGAGGCGGTATTTGGACTCTCTTTGCCGAAATCTGTTTATCTTTCCTCAGTGCAATTTGAATATAAAAGTTACCATTGATGGTCCTTCCTTTGGGTGTTTCTACATGTTTTACTGGACCTCTTGAAAAAAATGAAAACTAATAAAACATGCTTGAAGTCCTTGTTTCTCTTTACAATAATTAGAATGATGGTTTTTTCTTTGATTCCATTCACATCTTATTATTGATCTTCATTTATAGCTACAAAAATTGCACCCATGTTTCGTCGTCCATCACGATAATTTAACAAATCTTCTATTTTGTTTAAATATGTGTTTTTAAGTAGACAGTTGGCATATTTAACGCGTATTTTTCTGTTAGGCAATTTTGAGAAAATAAGTCACATATCTGAATGAAATATTATTATATTCA